TTTTTCTGTCGACAAAAGGCTTATTTAGAATGTTTGGATCACCAGGTTCAGGTCAAATCATGGCGGCCACTTTGACTGCACCCAATGGTTCTCGCGATCTCTGCTGTCCCACATACATAGAAAACAGGGATACTTGGGATAACCGCGTTAATGGCCAAGAAGTCATCAAACCATTTAATGGTCAACACAGATGATTCATTGGTGTAAGATTTATTGAAACAAGTCAATTACCTACTTTATATCGTCGTTTTCTTCATCAAAGAAACTGAATGACCTATTGGGACTGAACCATATAAATTTCCATTGTGGAGGAGAACACACTTCAAGCTACGTTTCGAGCTATCTACAAACAATCGCCATTCAGTTGCATTATAGTCTGAAATTCATTGAATTAGCTATTTTATGGCAAAACACAAATCCATCAGCACTCCGAAGGAACTGCGGAAATGCACATTCTCTCGATCCAGAGTCGGTGACTTTATCTCCTTCTTCTAACAAGTATTTTCTTGTAAGCTTGATGCTAAAAGTTCTGACGCTTTTTGGATAATCCCAAATATCGTACCAAGTCATTTAACTCTTGCTGATTAACTCTTGCTGATTAAATATTTTACGAACAGAATCATAGTCAGCTTTAAAATCTTTGTCGTTGGGGTCACTTCGATCGTCTCTCAACTATCTTCTTGTATTTATAAAGAGGTTAATTCTCGAAAAACTGGCACTGGAATTTCAGCTGAATGTGACACAGGGCGTATAGGTGACGGTAAATTAGGATAATATATTATTTATTTTTTAAGTCTATTTGTTTTAGCCAAATTAGTCTAGACAATATGAACCTTAACCTCTTGCGCCGCGTCAGGTAATTACTGGAAAAAGTTCCGCCGACAATAGTGCAGTAGGGTTTCCTGTAATTCGCGTTCAGTTTTTTGTACAACTGTAGAAAAAACTGAAAAAAAAAGTTTTTTTTTTTACAATTGTGCATTGATTACAAGCTCATCGACCGTTACGAACCTGTTTTAAACTTTAGGTCTACAGAATTGAGAAAAGAATGAACTAAATAAAAAAAAACGAATAATTAAGTAATAAAAAATAATTAATGAAAAATGAATGAACAAATAAATTTACAGAACGTCAGTATTTCATAGCAGCTGAATGATATTCACAAATATAAAGGCAAATCATTGATATCCAAAGATTAGTCAAATTTTTGTTCATCAATATCTCTTACGGTATACTTGAAACTTTTCATCACTCAGTGATTCATTCGAATCAATATGCATCAGGTAATTGAATCAACATCCTTAGTACATACGACAAAATTCAATATAATCAGCAATTCGTATGGAAAGAGAGCGTTATCAAACCTTGTAGGATCAAATTAAAGAGCCAGAAGGTTCCCATTAGGTGTATATCGCACGTGTGCCTGCAATACAATAAAAGCCAATTGTTTCTTTAATCGCTTCCTTGATGACGTGTGCATCAACCGAGATTGATAAAAGCCGGCGTATCGTTGAGACTTCATTACAGTGGAAACAGTTCTGTCATTTTTTTTATCGAAACATTTCCATTACCATAACCACTGTGAATAAAACTGATTATATCGTGCATCCGCGAAAATGAAAAAAATTATTCAAAATTTATCACGCGAACCATTACTTTGTTATCGTGTGAAAAATTCGTAGAAGAGTTGATTACTTATGCCTGCACAAAAAATTTTATAAATATTCTTATATTCACAAAAAAAACCTCTCTAGTTATGATATATTATCCAATTTCTTATGTACGAGGTTTGTTCAACAAAATATGAATTTTGAGTATTTTTGAAAGTATTTATTTATTCATCACTATCTATTTTGTTTCCTTCAAAATAATTCCCATCAGATATATTGCACGTAGGCTACCGCTTCTTACAATCCTCGAAGCAGTTTGAAATGCGCTTTTGTTTCATAGGTCTCTTCAGTTTTAGGAATAGGAAAAAGTCGCAGGGAGACAAATCTGGTGATTACAGTGGTTGAGACATGATTATAGTTGTTTTTTGCCAAAAAATCACGATCAAGGAATGATGTGTGAGCTAGTGCATTATTTTGTTGAAGAATCTATGATTTGTTCACAAATCCGATCTTTTGAACCGTATTGTTTCACGCAAACGTTGCATAATGTCCATGTAGTATTCCTTTATTAACCGCACTACCTGTCGACAAGAACTCATGGTGCACTACGCCGTTGTGATCGGAGAAAACAGAGAGCAAAATCTTCACATTTAATCGAACTTGACGTGCCTTTTCCGGTCTTGGTTCTTCTGGCCGCTTCCATTGGGATGATTGGGCCTTAGTTTCGACAACATAACCATATACCCACGTGTTTTCGCAAGTGATGATCTTTTTGAGCAAATCTAGATCGTCGTTTCCATCTTCCATCAACTCCTGCGCGATAATAATGTGACGTTGGTTTTGCTGAAAATTTAGTAATTTCGGAACAAACTTCGCTGTCACACGTTTCATGCCCGAAACATCCATGAAAATTGCATGTTAGGAGCCGATTGATATGCCAACATCCCCTGCAAATTCCCTAAAGTGATTCGACTATTTTCCCAAACCACTTTCTTCACTGTCTCCATGTTTTCTTCGTTTGTTGAATTGGTTGCAATTCCAGGTCTCTCTTCGTCATCAACATCTCCTCGGCCTTCTGTGAAGCGCTTGTACGACCTATAAACACTTTTTTGAGACAAAGTAGACTTTCCGAATGCCACAGTCGACGTTTGAAGTGCGTTGGAACATTTATTCCATTTTGAACGCAATTGAATACAGATTATTTGATCCATTTTCTCAGAAGTAAAGAATAGAAGAACTTAAAAAGGTACTAAAGTTCTCAGTTGTAAAAAACGAATTTTTTATCCGAAATGGGTGATGATGTCAACATATGAGGAACGTATGTGTACCAACATAAAAAAAATGTCGATATTCGCATGTGATAATGTCCGCGAAAACTCAAAATTTACCTTCAACAAACCTCGTATACCCAGTAGATACAACCTAACCCAGTACACGAAAACACGTATCACTTGAAAATTCCGGTTGAGATTTTGACGTCGTCAAAGACATGGAAGATTATTTTATCGATCGAAAGACTCAGAAAAATTTTTTTATACGTAATTGATTACCTAATTTCGTTTGTTGTACCTGCCTTTTATCATTCAGATTTTAAATTCAATTCTTAAATTCTATTCTTCTTTTTTGTTAGTCTATGTTCTGGCACTCTAGATTATGTAGAAACATATATATTTTGAAGAAATTGTTTTTTTGAGCTTTCAATATGTGAGAAAATCCAAATTGGTGTTTCATTATAGATATTGATTTTCCCAAGTATCCGTCCCTTCAATCATAAATTTGACGAATATGTTATAAAACAGATACTTACCGGTGCAACCTCCAAATCTAAATTCATATGTGAAGTATCAGATACCTTAGAAATTGAAAGCGGAGTGCGGCAGGCAGATGGACTATCACCAATCCCTCTCAACATTGATAATGAAAAGGTAGTTAGAGAAACTTTTCTGTCTAGTTGATAACATCAAAAGGGAATCGTCAAGGAAACGGATCCTCATATAAAGGGCAGAAAAAGTCAAGTGTCAAATCGATAGCAAAATGGCAGACGATATTGCTATTGTCCCGTCCAATACAACTGGAGCCATTGACGCTAAAAAAATATTTCATGAAATTGCGCTGGCACCCGGAGTACAAATCTCTCATGATAACACCCAAATATGGTAAGACAACCGAAAAATAAACATCCCTTGAAGACAAAACACGATAAAACAGTAGAGATCAGCAATGTTGAGTACCTCGGAGATTTTATACAGTCATCAGGATTAAACAAGATCACTAACGAATACAGAATGACCAAACTCCAGAAGACCTGTAAACTAACACAGGCAACCTGTAGTATAAGCTGCATTTCGACAAGCGCAAAACTAAGGCTTTATAACACAACAATTTTTCCAGAAGCAATCTACGCTACCGAAACAATGGTGACGTCATTCAAAAGTAAGACAAATAGAAAAATAATAACGAAAAATTCCTAGAAAAATTAGAGAGTAATTAATAGAGTAGTAAAGAATTAAAATGAACAGACCTCAAAACGAACTTTGTCAAGAGACGAATACAATGACAGAAAAAATTAGAAAACGGTGATCAAACTTTTAAGCACATGTTCACAAGATACAACACTACTGATTAGCAAAGAATCTATTCGATATAATAACAAAGTTAATGCACTATGTTTTGATAACAAAGAGTACATGCGGCACAGAATGATTCAATGCGGTCCGAAAGGATCTACAACACATCACATGTGAAGTTTGAGTAGAAAATGTCGCTTCGACATGGAATGGTATGAACAGATGAAAGAAAGAAGGAGCATTTTGAGAGGATGGTGCATTTTTGAGGGTTAAAAATGTGAACAAAAGGGGTAGAAAATGCTTGCTTCAAGTTCAATAGCACGCCCCATATGAAATCATTGCTTTGATAGTATATATTCCTTCATAAAATATGTATTTTATGAAGGAATAAAATACATATTTTATTCCTTCATTATATCCCCCTGTCTATTGTCTATTTATATCCCCCTGTCTATTTTCAAGAGAGCGACAATCTCTCTCTTCCAGTCAACGCCTAGCCAATCCACAAGATCCTTATCTCATCGATCGTGAGGGCGCTTTCTTGCTCTTGTCCTGTCTCTAGGCTCCCAATCACCAAACACAGCTGACCAACGCTCATCTCTTGTTCGAGCTAGATGGCATTCCCATTTCCCTTTTGACCTTTTTACACACCCCATGACATCATTCACCTTTGTTTGACCTATATCCAGTTACAGCTTATATATTAACTATATATAAGCTGCTTATATAGTAATTTTTATCGTGTTAACCAACCACGTGCGGACATGAATAATTGTATTAATATTTATAGTGAAAATTGAGAATTGAAATTACATTTCAAAAGTTTTGAACTCGACTGGGATTCAAACCCAGGTTCTTTGGGTTTACGGCCCACTGCTTTTGACCGCTAAGCTACCGAGGTCTACACTTTGAGATGCAACTTGATTGAGAAATTGAGAATTGAAATGTGACTTCAATTCTCAATTTTCACTATAAATATTAATACTAATTATACATATATAATTAATTAATAATACATATTAACTTCAGTATATATATATATATATATATATATATATATATATATATATATATATATATATATATATATATATATATATATATATATATATATATATATATATATATATATATATATATATATATATATATATATATATATATGTATATATATATATATATATATATATATATATATATATATATATATATATATATAAGGTATAAAATAATACCAAGGAAGGCCTAAAGATTATTTATGAAAGGAACCTGTTACATAAAAAATATTGAACGTACAAATAAAGGCGTCAATGATACGAAAAAAATTATATTTACGTTTCAGTTCGACATTAATCAATTAGGAAACAATTACAATTAAGAAAATAATTGAGAAAGCATGGCGGAAATGTCCAATTAAAATATGAAATAATCACTTTTTCTCCCAATTTCAGGTAATAGTTTTTATTATTGTTATCATTGCAGACAGAAATAACAGCAAACAATGAACAATTTGTAAAAACCATTGTTAAATAAGTGGTTATTCTTTTCGTGTAATTGACACATTCAAAATCCTTTTCTTTATTTTTGAGAAATAGTCTATTGAATAGCATTTTCAATTTATTACGAATAACTTCCCAAGTGTTTTAGTCTCAAACAAATAATTTCCGATTCCTTTGGTCGGTTCAACAAAAAGTCAACGTTTCTGTGGTTCAGATGGTTGAACTACATTTCGGCAGTTTGTGTAACAGAGGTACTGGGTTTGAATCCCTGGCTAGATAAAGCCTTAAAATGATTGATTCGTGGTTTAATGTACTTAGATTCAAAATATATTGGTTGTTGGGAACTGGTTTTGAAGTGTCCCAGTTTAAGGAGTGTCTTTTCGAAAAAAAGAAAAAATCTATTAATTTTCGATCTTGTTTGTATTCAATGAATCGAAAAAAACATATTGCTGTCACATGTGTTATCCCCACAGGTTTCGACTTTTAGCGGACTCAGAGAGTGTATACAAATTGGAAGACAAGTTCTTGTTTGGGAAATTAAAATCTTCAAATTCCATATAAAACCAATCAAGTTTTTGATATATCAATTAAGATTTTGTCGCTTTTTCATCAATTCAGCCCATCCAAGTGCAAAAACGATGAATAAATCCATGAAGCTATGAATCTTATAAAGCTCCCTTCCGAATAGCATTCAAAAAAATGTAATTGTTTTAACAGAAGGAAGTATCTTTCTTCTTGAGTTTGCCCAATAGTTTCATTGCCTCATTCATCTCAATTAATTCCTGAAAAGTTTCATTCATCGCTTAAAAACTTATATATTAAAAAATTCAATGGACGATGATCTACTCTGTGATAGTTCATATTTAAATGAGAGGTTATAATAAAAACTTGTCTAAAAATCACTGACTAGTCGAATAAAGAATTGTTCAGTCAGTGATTTTCAGACAAGTTTTTATTATAACCTCTCATTTATATATTAAAACCTTCCATAAACGTCATTATTCTTGAGAATAGCATGAAACATACAATTTGAGGACATGTATGTGATTACAAGCCAAATAAACGTTTGGAATGAGCGTTTTGTGTATAAATGAATTTCTAGTCGAATAACTGTGAAATCACATCCATAGATTAATTCAATATTCCAAAAGAATGATATCACGAGAACAAAACATAAGATTATTTTTATAAATTAACTTTATGAATCGAAATAGTTTCAACTTCAAAACTGAAATGTATGACGTCAGTAAATTAAATTAATTTTAAGATTGCTTAACCTGTGAAGTTCAACTGAAATTAAATCAATTTGAACATATCGATCCATAAAACAATTAAAATTCTCATAATTTCGTAATTACGAAATTACGATTCAGTAAATCTGAAATGAATTCATTTAAATCTATATGAAAACAATTGAGACGAAGTTTGCTCATTTCATTTCATACATACTCCACATATTTATTTTCTTATACACGATAATAAATATTATACATATATATATATATATATATATATATATATATATATATATATATATATATATATATATATATATATATATATATTTATCATTCATTTTTCCAAACTGTATTTTTTAAATTGCCATCTTTACCTTGTAAGATGTAACCTTTTTCTTCTTGAGCGTTTACTGGTTCAGTTAATTAATTCATTATTTCTAATCAATAAAAATTATTTTTATTTATTTAAATATTTAATAGTGTTGGCGTTTACTTGATGTAAATCCATTATAATTGAATATAACTTAAATTCAAACACTTGAACTTATGATTTACACTTTATTGACTACATTGCATGACGCGTTTCGTCGTTACAAACGACTTCTTCAGATGCTTACAGAATAATAACAACATTTTGAAAAATACAGGTATATATATCAGGGAATTTTGGTGTTCAATGGTTTTGGTTTTACCTAAGATATTCCATTCTGAGAATAATTTCTATTACCTGAAAAGGTTTAACAAGGGTGAATTGTTTAATTCTATCTGTTCATTGAGCAAGTTTCCAGAATTTTTAAGCCGATTTATTTCCACTACCTCCCAATAATCTAATTGACTACTTCTCTCTATATTGTGTAGAATTTTGAAATTCGTATCAAAAGTATGGTTTTCTGTTAATAAATGGTTAGCATAATTCGAATTACTTTTATTATGGGCGAAGCTATATTTATGTTCCTGTATTCTAGTACCGAAATTTCTACTAGTTTTACCTATATATATATACCGGGACATGTTCCACAATTTAATTGGTAAACACCTGATTTGTCTTCTCTTTTAATTTTGTTTTTATTGTTCTTAATGTGTCTCGATAAATTGTTGTTCGTTTTAAATGAAATATTAAAATTATGTTTACTTAAAAGCTATGGGAAGCCTTCCCATACGGATACGATAATCCATAACTCCTCATGCCACCCATATCCACATAAAATGGCAGCGTTTCAAAGTATGATACACAGATTAACCAATATACCTTTATCGGCAGAAAATTTCAATAAAGAATTGAATATCATTAAACAGATTGCGGTTAATAATAATTATGAAAGCGAAGTCGTGTCAAAAATTCTGGACAAAAAACTCTATCGGAAAGCTCTACGATTAGTATTTCCTTATCAGCCGGATAGAAATCGTAAATATAACAGTTTAACATACTTTGGAAACGTCAGTCAAAAAGTCAAAACCTTTTTAAGTAAACATAATTTTAATATTTCATTTAAAACGAACAACAATTTATCGAGACACATCAAGAACATTAAAAACAAAATTAAAAGAGAAGACAAATCAGGTGTTTACCAATTAAATTATGGAACATGTCCCGGTATATATATAGGTAAAACTAGTAGAAATTTCGGTACTAGAATACAGGAACATAAATATAGCTTCGCCCATAATAAAAGTAATTCGAATTATGCTAACCATTTATTAACAGAAAACCATACTTTTGATACGAATTTCAAAATTCTACACAATATAGAGAGAAGTAGTCAATTAGATTATTGGGAGGTAGTGGAAATAAATCGGCTTAAAAATTCTGGAAACTTGCTCAATGAACAGAAAGAATTAAACAATTCACCCTTGTTAAACCTTTTCAGGTAATAGAAATTATTCTCAGAATGGAATATCTTAGGTAAAACCAAAACCATTGAACACCAAAATTCCCTGATATATATACCTGTATTTTTCAAAATGTTGTTATTATTCTGTAAGCATCTGAAGAAGTCGTTTGTAACGACGAAACGCGTCATGCAATGTAGTCAATAAAGTGTAAATCATAAGTTCAAGTGTTTGAATTTAAGTTATATTCAAAAATTATTTTGACAAAATTGTAATTTGTTGAGAAACGTTTACAAGTAAATATATTGAATTATATGGACTAGTAGTATTGGAATTCGTATTTATGCAAAATTTCATGATTTCCATTCTTTTTTGAAAATGATTATTTCAATCAAAGATTGAAAAACATTTAATTTCATTCTTCATTTAATATATTGTAGTAGGTACTCATACTTGATGTCTAAACACTTTCGATATGTGACATTGTTTACAGCAATACTATGCCGTTGAAATTTTTATGTCGTGAAGCTTTATGGAACCGGATAAATTATATCTATGTTGAACGAGTTGAATATATTTATTTTTACCTATTTTTTGCATAATTTGACGCATGCCAAAAATTCAAGATAACAATGAAATTTTCCTCGAAATATTCTCATGTTAACAAAAAAATTGGTATGAAGTTATTCTACTCACATAATTCTTAGCATACACTATTGATTTTTTACACATCACTTGTCCTCGTTAACAATCGAAATATTTCCACGGTTTTCTGTACAAAGAGGCAATTATTCAATAACTAGAGGAAGTACTCACTTTATGATTGCTTTAGCGTCTTCAGTGTTCAAGGAAATTAAACTCTAATCGTCTGTCGTACAAGTATTATTAATTTTAACATGAATCATAAATTGCTTCTTATTCTATTAAATTAGGCTCATTCATATTCGTCAAAGTCATAATCGTATAACATAAGAACAAATTGTGTAATAGAGTTATTGAATTTCAAATTTTGCCGAAATCATCAAAAATCACTGAAAGAGAGGTGGAAGTTTATCTAAATATTCAAATGTTAATTGTTTTAGGCAAACTTAGTTACAAATCCTCGTAAGCTGTGCCACCTGAGAATTATCTTCTTTGACTACTATGAGATTTATTAGGTTACTCAGAATTTTTTCGGTGTCATTCCAAGTCCAAATTGTATTTCAATTCAATAATAACAAATTAGACGGAGGTTTATACTTTATTGGCAATTCCAGAAAAAAATTGGGCTGAATTTCATCCTATAAACTGATTATATGATTCGAATAAGTATTTTCATACGATATTATGAAAAAA